TACCGGCGCATTTTTGCTATGTGGAAGCTAAATCAGAGTTGGTATTTGGCTTTGGAACAAGAAATCTCATTTCCTTTGAAAAAAAGTAGTTTCCAGATGACTTGCGGGATTTCTGACATGGATTCAGAGTTGGAATGGGTGGGTCGGTTTGTCTAAAGCACAGACGTGCGTCTTGTCTGTTCCTGACCTGTGGTACATCTAGTTCTTGAGTAGTAGATCCTGAAGCCAGCATCTGTATAGACAGTTGACTTTTATGGCTGGTATGTTTTACGCCTGATAAATTTTGGGAGTTCAGAGACTTTCTGTAGTAACGTTAAAAATTACCTGGGATATCTTGGTACTGTGCTGATTCTAATTGAACAGTGGTGTTACAAACCACAGGCTTAGGAAGAGGATTGTGCTGGTTTTGGCTGGGGTTCCTACAGATAACCAGTGTCTGTGGCTTGGTGTGTTTCAGATGATAGAGGGAGAACAGGGTGATGGGTTAGCTATGCTGTAATACAGTTTCATTGGCACTATGGGATTGCTGAACATTGCTTATTGTTTTGAGCAAGGAATATCGATCCTGGTGTGGTCCTAGGGACTGGAAGCCTAAGCGCAGTATCGGCATGATTTGTAATCCCTTGTGTATATCTTTTTTTAATCTGTGTTTTGTTTGTTTGTTTTAATCCTACTTGTACTGATAAAGAATCTACTTCACATGCACTGTAACTGCTCCAACGTGCAAAACAAAAGTAGAGGCAAGTGGGAGAGATTTCCTTTAAAAGCGCACTTGGAGCTAAAACAGTAGTGTGGGTGCATCATACTTTGCTGTATTTCCTGTAAATTCATGGAATGTTTGGAGGAAGACTTGGTATTTTTATAAGGGACAGAAAAAAGGTCCTCAAGGATCTTGTTACATGTTCAGAATGGATTTGGGGCATATAGGTGCAAATATCTTGAGATATTTTTAACGGGCTTTACAAATTAGGCTAGAAATTTAAGACTGATAGGAATTATGTGTCACATCTATTTATTTTTGGCTCGTTTTTCTGTCTTTTTGGTTATTTAATTGCTGTATCTAAAATAAAAAGCAATATTTGTATCTGTTAAGTGCCAAAAATAAGTACTTGATTGCACATGTAAATAGGGGATTTAGGGAAAATAAACGAACATTAATGGAGTAGATTTGTTAGTATGTGGGATGTGTGTATGTGTGGGTGCATACATAAAGGTAAATGTATTTTTTTTTCTTCTCTACTTATTTTCAGCCTTTCCTCCTCTGTTCCTGTTTATGTTTCCATTTACATGACACCATGAAGAAATCTTCTCTGTCACTTCCTAAACAAACCCTGGGGCTGTGTTGGGGCATTAGGGAAACTGTTGTTCACATGGTTCATAGGTTAGCGGTTTTATTTTCTTTTCCATTATTGCTTTTAATTTGGCAGACATCCTTGGTAAGTTGTAACTTCAACATGAAGTGAAGGGTGGGCCCTGTGTATTGAGCACTGAGAGCAACATGGCTGGTGGCCTTAGGGTCAGTGGGTCCTCTCTCCATCCTACCTCTGCTCCATTTCTCCGTCATCCTCTTGCTGCCACAGTCTCAGTTCATTCCTGGTGGTTACATCCCAGGAAGTTGTGAATGAAGAACAAGGCAGCACAGTTCCTAGGGCTAGAAATAGCAGCTTCACCATCATGTGCAATGGGGTTCATGCAGCTCTGAGCTGCTTCTTCAGCTGTCTGTGAAGTCTGTTTCTGAGGCTGGAGATGCCCACGTTGCAGAGCCCTTTGCTGGGGTATTTGGCTCAGCCCCTGCTTTCAAGGGTTGGCATCATAAGCCCAGCAGCCAGAGTCAAGCCTGGTGTCAATTAAAAATTCGTCAAGCAGAAATAATTATTGTACCCTCTGCTATCTGTATTTTTTCTTTATTTTCTCTTTAACACAACAGTTTACTTTTGGGATGGGCAGGAAGGTGGTTTGGTGTTGCTTGATCTGCTCACAGTTCCTCACTTCCTTTGGCTGTGCAATAGCTGAGTGATGGTTGTCTCCAGGGCTGAATGACTGCGCCTGTGATGGAGGATAAATACAGAAATATTTTCAGAAAATTTAAATAAGCATGAAAAAAAAAATGGGTAAAGCAATATCGTGGTAAAAAACTGGAACCTTTTGCACCCTTTTCAGTTTCATGTCCTCATCAAGCAAGCTGTGTATTTATTGAACACATTTCTGTTTTTCTGGCTGTTAGAGTACCAAAGCCAGTGTTGTACTGCCACCTCTTGATAGCCGGGCAGGACAGCATGTGGCAGTACTCCTTGACTTACCAAAGCATCTTCTGGAAAACACTGTGAACCAGACTTGAAAAGTGATACTCATTTGACTTGGACAGGGTGAATAACGCTTTTGACAGACAAGCAAAACGTTAGCTTTTATTTTCTTTAGCCATCCAGCTACATAATGGGTGAAATTATGTGGCATCTTCACAATTCTGCTTTGAGTGGGGAGCCCTTTTCATATTAATAATGCAGGTTGTCTCTGTGTAGCAAATGTCACTTTCATCTGATTTCTACATTTTGATCTACCTTTTAAATGATGCAGCAAGATCTCAAAAATCAGTAACAGACCTATGAAACATACTGTTTGTGTGTGTACGTAATATAAAAAGGCTTCTTTGCCAGTCTTTAGAAATTTAATGACTTTTTTTTTAAGGAGAATATTGTTTATCTTCGTACAGAACTTCTCTGAGAAGCAGTCTTAAAGATAGTTTACGCCAGTTGTGACAACAAAACATAGCTAAATAAAATTAGTGTTTGGTCCTGCACATGGTAGAATTGGTTGCTAATGCATGAAATGGCTAAAAATTACATTCATTTCACACAGTGCTCAATAAACGAGCCATCAAAGTATGTTGTAGTTTGGCAGGTATATCTTGTACGTCAGACAACGCTGGGGGCTGTGGAGGGGTGGGGTAGCATGAGTAGCAAAGCACCTTTCTTTACAAGTTGTGTTGCATTGGCTAGAAGTTATTGCACTTGATCAGTTATTTTTTCAAGTAGAAATTAGATGGATTTTTCATGTAGAAATTATATGGATGTATATAAATACAAATAGCTCTGCATTTGTATTTATTTCCTTAATCAACTAAAACCATCTTTCTTACCCTTGACAGTGCAGCATGCTGAAGCTGCAATATAAGCATGAGATCTGGGTTTCTGTGGACACATCCAGCATCGTATACAAACTCCCCATTTCCCCTGCAGGATAACCCCAGCTCTCCCACTGGCCCCGGCTGGGTCTGAGCCATCCCTGTGCAGCTCTTGGGCTGTGTTACTTTTCCCGTGCCCTCTCCAGACAAAGCAGGCAGTGTGCGCTGCCCTCCCTCTTACCCACAGCTGTTAGCATGGGGGTGGCCACATGGCTGGGGTGGGTTTAGGGGAGTCCATATGCTCATCCAAGTCACCACTGTTCATGTGTTTTGGGCAAACCTACTCCTTTTGATGTCCAGGTACATCCTGTAGCCTGTCCTCTTCTTGAGGAGTTTAATCGGGTCTTTCTTCTGCAACATTATGGGACTGGTAGAAAGTCTCATCTTGAAGAGCTCTTCCCACCATCAAATTTGTTTGCAATTGACTGTTAAAATTCAGAAGGTAGATGATAAGAAAGAGAGCGTGGTCATTGTCTCCTGTTTCCTTGGGAAATCTTGCTAGGGAAAGAT